TGCTTATTTTATTTTAGTCATTTTTTAAAAAAAGTAATCATTGTCTAAACTAATTAAAATAGTTATTGATTTTTATAATACTTGAACTTTAATGAATAAAAAATTTGCATAAGAATAGTTATAATAGTTGTTTCATTTTGTAACTCATTGCTAGAAAAAAAAAAAAACAGTCACTACTTAAACTAAAATAGTCATTAATATTTATAATATTTGAATTTTAATGAATCAAAATTTACACAAGAAAAATTATAATTAGTCATTGCTAGAAAAAAGTAGTAATTACATAAACCAAAATAATTACTAATATTTATTTTTGGGGGTGGCTAGAGCTGTTACTTTTTAATTTTAAAATAAGGATGTTTTAATCATTTTACCAAAAATTAGTAATGTCAGGAAGGTTTTTAAGAACCTGAAAAGAATTATGACATTTTGTAGGATCTCATTGTTATTTATATATTTTTAAAAAAATTTCTGTCATTTTCATTTTAAAAAATTAAAAGACAATTTACTCAAATTTTTGTTTTAAAAGTTTTAAATTTTTTTTACAAAATTATGTATTTTAACAAAATTTATTAAATATAATTTACGATCTTCATTTTTTATATACTTTTGAAAAAAAATACTCTTCATTGATAAAAGAGGGTGGGAATGAAATTTATTTAAGAAGTGAAATAATGATGAGTAACATTGAAATAAATATTATTAATTAAATCTTTTTTCTTTCAAAACCTCTTATATTATAAAAAGGAACATGAAAATTGATAAGAATGGACGTGCAATCTCTCCATTTCTTTACGATCATCTTCTCTTGACTTCTCAAAATAAGGTATTGGGCTTAAATTAAAATAAAATTTTAAAATAAAATAATATCCTTCTTCAATTAACTTGCAACATGACGAATAACACAAAGGAGCTAACAAGTAAAGCTTTTAACAAATAATATAATTAATAAGAAGCATTTAATTCACAAGCTAAGTTATGATAATAGCTTAGTAAGTAATAAATTTAACACACCACATAGACTTTTATTTTTAATCAACTATATTACTTGTTAAAAGCTTTACTTTATTTGTTAATTTTTGTGTGTTACTTGTTATGTGAGGTGGGAATATGAGCCAATCTGAATCATATGAATTGAAAGAAATGTGGGTTGAGTTAGATTCAACATATTTTCATGTGGGTTAAAAAAACGTCAATCCAACCAAACTCAACTTTTGAAGGTTAGCGAGTTAAATGGGTTAATCTACCAATGTATTTATTTATTTTATGAATTTTTAAAAATACACACAAATAATGAGTTCCAATGTGATATTCTTTCATGATTCATTCTAAATATATCAAAATATTAATTTATAATATTTGTATAAAATATATAAATTAATCAAATTAAATAAGTCATGCTCAATATGGTTTATATCCACAATATTTTTCCCTTATTTTTTTTTTAATTTTTTTAAAAATAATATGGATTAAACAAGCCAACTCTAACCTATTAGAGTTAACCTATATAACTCATAGGTTGTATGGTCCAGGCAAAAAAAAATTTTATTTTTATTTGGGTCAATTTTTTTGCTAGCCTAACCTAACCCCTTATGATAAGTTATTTGAGTTAACTCACATAACTCGACCCATATTCTTTGCTCTAGTTATACTACATTATGCTATGCTAGAAGTAATAAATTTTGATTCCAAAAAATGTTATATATGTGGTCATGAAATTTTTCATTTATTTTGGCAATAAATTTGACAAGTGATTATGATTAGAAAAAATGAAGAGAAAATGATGATTTAAAAAAAAGAAGAAGAAGAAGAAGGAAAGGTTAGACGTTAGAGGAACTCAACAATGAATGGCATTGGATTCACCGTCGCCAACTTCCAATCACGTCATCATTTTCGTCTGAAACCCACATTCAAGTCTTCATCTTCAGCTTGAACCTTGCTTTGCTAGCTTCAATGCCATCTCCCCCCCCACCCTAAACAAATGGCGTCAACCACAGCAAATTAAAAGAGATTGTTACAGAAGTCCCAACGTTACTACGAGTCTACAACGAGGGCACCGTCCAACGCTTCAAGAAAATCCAGATCGTGCCACCCTCCCTCGTCGACGGTGACCCACAAACTCGACCCGTTTCATCGAAAGACATCGTCATCTCCGACAGCCCCTTCATCGCTGCTCGTCTCTACATCCAGCAAAAGCAAACCGAAGCACCCAGAAGAATTCCGATCCTGGTCTACTTTCATGAAGGTGGGTTCATATCGGAATCGGCCTTCTCTCCGGCGTACCATTCGCACTTCAACGAGTTCGTGTCGCTGGTCGACGTGATGGTTGTGTCTTTGGAGTATCGGCTCGCCCCAGAACACCATGTTCCTGCTGCTTATCATGATTGCTGGACCGCCCTGCAATGCGTTTGCTCTCATTCTTCAACCCACAACCAAAGAAACTCTGATGATCTTCGTGAACCTAATACTGCAATACAGGTAAGTGCACGAGGTTATCAAACTATGCCAAAAAAATATGATTATAATTAATTATAAATACTCCCACAATAATGCGTAGCCCATGAATTGCGTCGTGAGTTGTGACGAAGGTTTTGATGTCAAATGCAGAATTGAGAAGCTGGCGGCTCGGCTTATATAAACTTGAGCCGATAAGCTTTGTAACTCTAAAATTAGTTAATTCTTCAAGCCCAATCCTTTTGATTGGCTTAAAGTAGGCCCCAAACACTTTTTTATTTTTTAAATTTATTTTTATTTTAAAATTAAATTTATCATTACTATATCATATATTTATGTTATAAAGTACAAATCAAATTGTTCAAAAAATTAAAATAAGTAATATAAATCATAATTTTAAAGAACAAACATATATTTTAAAGTTTCAATTTAATCTAAATATATAAAATATCATTATTTTTTTAGAGTTAAAATAAATATGAGCTTAAACAGGTCCAAGCCCTTTTTTTAGGACATAAAAAGATTAGATTTAAAAGCCCTTTTGTATAAAATACTCTAATTTTCAAAGTCATGGATATATAAAAATGAGTTTAAATAGGTAACTTGGTAAGCCCAACTGGTATTTGAAACTCTAATTAAAGGCCAACATCAAATAGAGTTGAGCTAAAAAAATGTATACAAATGAAAAAAAAAAAAAATACCGAAACTCCCTTGCTTAAACATTTTAGGTTAAGATATGTGAAGTGATATATTACATCTTATAATAATCGAACACATCATGAAGTAGTGATCAAGGAAGCACTTTGTGCTATAATTAAATACTTTTCCAGATGCTCTTTGAACTGTGAGACTTATCATTGACTCGGACAAGTTTTAAGATTCAACGCAAACTCTTATTATCATAAGAAACTACTAGCATAATATATTATCATATAGAAAAAAGCGGAATAATAATATATGCAAATTTGAATCACTAGTACATGCATATTCATAAAGATCTTTATGTTCTTCTGGAAAAAATATAGGAAATTTCGTTCAATGAAGACAGTCACTAACATAGAATGCAATGTGATCCAGGTATCAACATACAACGAAATATGTAGTATTTATGATACACCTCCATATTCCATGAATCTAGAAAATTCCTCCAACACTCAGCCATGGCTAATCAATCACGGCGACTTCAATAAAGTTTTCATAGGAGGAGACAGTGCTGGCGGCAACATTGTTCACAACATCGCCATGCGAGCTGGCTCGGATGCTTTACACTCGCGTGAAAAATCACCGTTGCCATATATTCCCACCCATACTTTTACGGGTCAAATCTAGACCCGGTTGAGTCCTTGCCCGAAACATGGAAAGGAAAAAACTATGTTTCTACGTGGAACTTGGCAATACCCCACTGCGCCGGGCTGGATGGATAACCCGATGGTGAACCCAGTGGGTCCTCGGGGCTCCGAGTTTGGCAGGCCTGGGGTGTGAGAAAATGCTGTGTGTGTTAGTGGGAAGGATAAATAGAGGGATAGAGGGGTTAGATCCTATGAGGGTGTGAAGAAGAGTGGGCAGAAAGGGAATTTGGAATTGTTTGAAGAAGAAGAAGAAGAAGAAGATCATGTTTATCATATTCATGAATCCCAGTCCGAGAATTTCCACAAGATGATCAAACGCTTGGGTGAGTTTCTTCTTGAGTAAGAACAAGGGACTCAATAATAGTGTGTTTTCAAGATGAAGAGATACAATAAATAAAGGATTATCCTTTCTTGTAATAATAGAGAATTTTCATTATGCATTACCGTATTCGCTGGAGACGTGCAAGCGATCTAAACATGTTTATTCATTTTTATTTGATAAACTTTATGCTTATTGGAGGCTGTTGAGAAAACATCGTTAAATTGCTAGCAAACTGCCAAACAAACCTCTATTGAGAAGACAAGAAATAAAAAGATCTTTGATTAATCTTTTAAAATCAAGTGGAATTTATACAAGATATGAGTTTATAAAAAATCGCACTTTCACACGATGGTCACTAATTATCTAGGATTCATTATATTTCCATGATAGTGAAGAAATGTGCGTGTAAACCGATCCCTAAGAAAATATAGATAATGTATTTCTTTTCTTTAAGAAACACAAGGCTCATGACATAGTTAACAACTATTTCTTCTAGAAATAGCAAAATAAGTTTCTGAATTTTAAATTAAAATAGAAACATCCAATCTTAATTAAGATTAGGAAAAAGTACATATTTCAATTTAATCCCATAATAAAACAAATTTTCCATCTTTTAACTTTAACACCACTGTTAGTCTCAAATGATTTTTTTTTATCAATCATTGATATTTTAAAAAATTAAATTTAATGTGTTAATATTTGAAAATATTTTATCAACGTCTAAAAGTTTAATGTCAATAAAATTAACTGCGCAAGATTTAGTAGTATCACAGTATCACTTGATTGATTGTATACCAAATGCAGCATGCCAAATCTAGTAATTCTAGTGAAGTACATAACGTAATCGAAATAACAACTTCCAACACACATTTCCATATCAGAAGACCAAATTCAAAGGCTTAAGCCTAACAGCATAATTTCTTGCAGAATAATTGTGATACACACATGTACATTATACGTACTCTACGAGAAACATTAACCTATCATCACCAACACAATGAATCGTAATTCCTGAATGCAAAATCGAGAGAGAGAGAGAGAGTTGCATATAACCATCACAATATTGCAGGAGAAAAAAGCAATGTTGGTGAAGGTCATATTGGCTTATGTTATATCTACTTATGACAATGACGATACAAACAATTAAATGGACTTACGCTGCATCAGAGAGGAACACACATGACTGGTCTGACTTATTTCCTTCAGCCATGCAGTATTCAATAAAGGAGACACCCCTTTTTCCCTATCTCAACAAAAGATAACAGGAAGAACACCTACAGCATTCTGTACACCACAATCATCAGTTAGAGGTCAACAACAAAATGGTTGGCATGCTACGACCGATCGATAGCAGAGTTAGCCTTCGTGAGCGCTTTTGCGAAGTAGTTGTGTATCTCTGGCATAATGCGTTGGATCAGCTGAGAGTGCCTGCAAGTATTAGGCGCATTAAGAAATTTAAATCCAAGAGAACCAGACAGAACTCATAATTGTATATATGAATTTCAGGATTTTATCTTTTTTAACATACATGCATGGGTCTATGACAGCAAACATGTTCTAAATAAATGTGCCTGGATCAACCAGCTGACATGATTAATGAGCTTATGTCAATAAAATTGACGTTTAAGATCCCAGAAAATCATAGTGGTCAAAAGAAAGCAGAGTTACATAAACATCAACAAAGAATGAGAAGCTAAAAGTATGTTTGGATTGAAGAGAACAGCAGAAATGAGAAATGAAAATTGTAATTCTAACATTTTCTTCAATTTTGATTAAAATAAGTAGGGAAAACATAATTATTGGTTACTATAGTTTTATTGTGTTTTGTTTTTAGTTCTTATAATTTGTTTTCAATATTTTCAGTCCTTATAGTTTTTGCAAAATTGAGTGACATTAAAAACAAATTACAGGGACTAAAAGCAAAACCCAATGAAACTACAAAGACCAATGATTGTGTTTTCCCCAAATAAGTATTTGTTTTCTTCCCAACTTACTCATTCTCCTCAGCTCAAGCGAATTATAAGGGACAAATTGTTGGATTTAAAACCAAAGCAAAGAAAATATCAGAAGTAAAATTCAATTCCTCTCTCTTTCCTCCAGTTCTGCTCAATCCAAACATTGCACAACAAATTACTGTATTAAAATGAAAAAGGGGGGGGGGGCTCTCAGAATTTTTGGACTCCAGGCCCCCTCCCAACCCTCATCATCCCCCCAACCATAAAAAAAATGGCTCCTTATATTTTTATCACTTCATAAACTCTTCATGCCTCACCTGAACTGAACATGCATAATTAAAGCTGAATGAACGAAAATACCCTTGATAAATAATTCTGAAAAATAATTCATTATTCCTTGCTGGATGTAGTGCCCATTTGGATTTCAGTTAAGCATAATAGATTATGAAAATAATTGATTAAGTGGTAAATTTCAATCATAATTGATTATATTATAACACAATATGTTTGGATATCGTTTTTCTAAAATTAATTTTAATAGAATTAAAAATGTTTGGATAATTTAATCAGAATTAATTTTAGCTATGTAAATTATTATAAAGGATATTGCTTTTTAAAATTAAATTATTAATATATTTGTATTTAATATTATTAAATTTGTTAAATTTTTATTTAAGAAATAAAATATATTATTTAAATTACATATCTGATTAATTCGTAAAATTTTGGTAACATAGAAAATATAACAATGTTACAAATGGTGCAAAACCTCTCTCTAGACCTTTATAACAATATTTGTCATGACTCTAAATTTTAAATTAATTTTTCTCTATCAATTAATATTTTATTTGAATTAGTTTTATAGTAAGTGCTGAACGAAGGGTGATAGTTGACAAAAACTTATGCTAGCAACTTTTTTGAGGATACAAAGTTTGAATTTTATCAAAAAAAAAGAGAGAGAGAAAAGAGGAGAGGAGAGAGTTTGATTTTATTTTTATTAAATTATGTGCTTTCTTTTGTACTTTTTTCTTAGGCCTTTTTTTATAATATTTCCCAACACTTTTTGATGAGATTTTCGACAAAAGCTCGGATTGGCAGCTTCTGGAAAAAAATCAATTTTTCCCCCAAAAATCGATTAATCACAAAATTTGGTGTTTGGATAACTTTTCTTATTAATCGATTACCAAAAATGGATCAATGAAGCAATCCAAACAGGCATGTAACTGGCTGTATGATAACGACTTGCGCTCTAAACAGAATGTCATTGGCTTGGTAGAGAAACACTAATTTAAATATCTGAAATCCTTTTCTATATCAACACCAAGACTACAAGAAAAACATTTTTCAGAATGCCAAAAGCTCCTGTGTGCTCTTTTCAAAACTATATTCCACTGAAAGTTATTTAAGTCATAGTTCAATGTTTTTTTTAAAAAAAAAATATGTTACCATATTACAGAGACAAAAGAATATCTAACATAAGCATGTGCAGAATTCAAGGATCAGATTATTACCCAGGTTTTGTACACAGTTTATCATACTGCTCCAGGATGTAAACAATGCAAGAGTGCCTCAATGATATTGCATTAAAGGCTTCTGAAAGGTCGTACATACTTGACACAGTCTCAAGTGATATGTCCTTGGAAAAAAACAGTTGTACCATGTAAGACAGGTTCCTTCCAGTCTAATATTAGTGCAGAAATATATGACAACACACACGTGTGTGTATGAAACTAATTGCATTAGCTCACCTGCGCAATTGCGTACTCACAGAGTCTCTTAAGTCCTTCTAGGAGATATTGATCAGCGGCTCGAAGGAGATCTTGAGCAATGTCCAGAGTAACATCAACTGATCCAGTATAGATGAATCTGGACAAAATTTGATTAAAATAAAAAATACAAGTTCTCTTCAGACAATCAAATTAAACTTTAAAGGCTTCAATATCATGAATTTTACAAAGACATCCAATTCATAATTTATTATACCTCATCATTAGTTCAAAAACATCCCATCTTATATTTGGAATTCCTATATCTCTCGCATCCTTCTCCTGCCATACAACATATCAAGGGCTTAACAAATGTGAAGGATGTACATCATTAAACATGCATTGTTCACTTTTCACTTTAATTGTCAAGTCAAAATAAAGGCTTAGATTGTTATGAAGCATATTTATAATTACTTGACAAGACTCCAATGAACAAAACAATTACATGGAGCATTGAACGAGCATAAAATGCCCAAATACTACGTGATAATTAATGTAGCTTGAGAAATTGGATGGAGTAGATGAATGTTTCTCTTTATATTTTAATTCAAGAAAAAGTACCTCATGCAATTATATCTTCGCTAGGGGGAAGAGGAGATGAGAATTATTCACAGGTCAAGATCAACAACATATACTCACCCTATAACCACCATCAAACATTGCACGAAATGCATCTGAAGACGCAAGTAGGCAGATTCTGTGAGCATAAAACCGCTTCCCTGCAGTTAAGATTGAACATTAACCAATAAACTAAGCATTCTACCTGAAGCTACAATAAATTTAATTTCAAATCATTTATTTTCAAAGAAGACAGTTTTTAGCAAGAAAAAAAAGTGCATGAGGAGCATCAACCTTCAACCAAAAATGTAACATCAGACAATGTAGCGTTGTTGACATACTGCTCTCCTAAATAGACCTGCAAGAAGAATAGTTTATCATTTCATACATTCCGACCATATGAGACAACTTATTTTGGAATGCTCTGCAGAAGAAGTGAGGAAGAGAAGATATGCGTGAGGATTCTTGCAAGTGCAGGCATAGTGGGCATCAAATATATCATATAAAAAGACTAATAATGGATCAGCATCTGCTAAATAATTACATGGATTATTTATTTACAACAACAAATAGTTTACCAGATATATACATCAACTTTAAAACTCAGCAGGCATACATGAAGAAGATATTACGTTAACTAATTATAGGATCAGCATATGCTAACTAATAATGTTGTTAACTCAATACAAATCCTCTGAATTCTGATTACTCAACCAGATACTATCCAACCAAATCCACCCACAAAAGGAAAAGAAGAAAAAAGAAATGTTTCCCTAGCTTTCAAGAGGCTAAAGTCTCTCCCAAATCTAGACTAATTTTTGCTGCATATGGACACCGATGAGGGCTCAGGCTCAGCCCTGTGCTTAGTTCTACATCATGTAATAAGAGCTACTTAATAGGGTTTCCCAGCCATTGCTTTTGAGGTGGGTTTCCCATCTGTTCCTTGGATGCTCATCAAGTACACAATACGACAAATCACAAATAAGTTTTAAAACTTATGTAAGGCCAGAATCATTTTTATCATTTTCCAATCAATCAAATACTATATGGGCCTCAAGATAAGGAAAAGTATATTTCAAAATCCATGCATCAGCAAGCAATTGTAGCACCTATATATTAGTATCAAACAGCCCACATAATCAGCTTAAACTGTACGGATGAGTATGTGTGGAGAAATTTTGTTCATAGAAGGGAGGAAAATCTAAAAGAATGTGATGCGGAATTATCCTGAAGTCCCAAGAATAAGCAAAGGAGAAATTAAATCTTGCGGGAGAAAGCCAAAGTACAATATCACGATCCAATTATGAAATTAACTTCTTGGTTGCGGCAAACTCATGGGAATGGATGTGTGAGGACAAGCCAACAGGACATAAGCCTACCTGAGGTGTTGGAGATGGGGGAGCTGCATCTATGGGAGACAGTGTCAAGGCTTTCTTCGACAATTTGCACAAAGCTACAGCACCATCAAGTTGCTGCTTTGTGCTAGAAGAGCCAAGAAGCCCAAGAAGCAACTCCAAACCTGCATGAAAAGATAATTAAAGCCACAAACATAGGGAGGGTTTTTTATGTAACAAGAACCATCATGAATCAAAAGATCAAAATTATGAAATGGATTAGATGGAGCATACCATTGTTATCGATGAATATTAATCTCTGATCATCCGCAGAACAAAGATGAGCAAGAGCCAAAGCAACTCGACGTTGGACAGCCTTTTCTGAAATGCGCATAAGATATAACAAATGATTGAGGACCTGCAAGAAAAATAGAGGGCATCAAATTTGAACATCTTGATCAAAGAAACATAGTAATTCACGGTATTTCCAAAATTAGTCAAAATTATATGCACAAGTAAATATAAGTAAACCGGTGCTTACACAGCCACGAATCTTCTCCTCTAATCTTTTCAAAGTCTTTGCAACACAATCTTTTGTTGCCTGCCAAAAATAAAAAACACAAATTCCATGTAAGTCAGGATAGGTCCGGGGATAAATATACTTTACCCCAGTTCTGAAAAATAAGTCCATACAAGGCAATCACAATGTACATGATTTCAAATGATATGAACAATACCGGATAATATTAAAAAGAACAGCAAAAGCTAATTTCTAGAAAGTATAGAAGTACAGTACTTACCTGAACAATAAACTCTCCATCCTGCAGTCTCTGAACACCACCTACCCTAATAAAATCGGACACGTTATCCTATGAAAATGAAATGACAAAAGAACAATCAATTAAAATTGTACTCAGTTTTTTAACCAATTTGAGAACGGATTATCCTAATTTCATTAGAATCCCCAGTTGTCATACCTCATTATCTGCAAGGCCATAAAGTGCAAAAGCGGCATTATGTTGCAAAGACCCATTTTTTGAATCAAGAAGCTTGAGTAATGGCAATAAGCCACCATTGTGTGCAATACCAGCTTGGTTATGCATGTCCTGAAGTCAAAAAGTTCTTTTCAAACCGGAGGAAATGGTGCACAAAAGAGCCTAGTATTCAACTTTCAAATAAAAATAATGCATATTGCATAGGACATTTTCTTTACCGACCAGAGCAACTTATTTTAAAATAGTTAGCTTTATATTACTGAGATGCACAGAGACCATTAAAATTTGACATTTAAGACTGATGAGCCCAATACAGAAATGTTTAGCATATGGCTGAGATAACACCAATGTTAATGATCGAAAACTATCATCTTGAGATAAACAATAAATCATTTCCATAAATACAATGGTGAATTTTACTTATAGCTTACACCAGTGGAGTAGTGAATTATAACTTGGAAAACAAAACGTATAGAGAATAACCTGTGCCAGTCGGCCCAATGCAAAGGCAGACATTTCTTTGAGATGTACATCATGGGACTGAAGCATCTCTATAAGAGGTGGAACAGCACCTCTCTGTACAATATGAACCTGAAAAATTTAAGTAAAACAGATATTAAGACAAAGTTGAAGGGAAGGGAAGGGAAGATGGAATACATGATGCAACACAAGAAGAGTCATCACAACAAAGAGTGGTAGCAAGTGAATAATCGGAAATTGGAACCATAAAGTAATTGCCTATGAGTAAAGTTCAGAAAGTGATTGACGTCTTTTCTACCCCTGTTCATATGCCAGGCAACAAACATAAGAGTGTAAAAGTCTCTTCCCCTGATAAGGCCTCTCCCTCCCTCCCTCTTCAATACAAGTTACAATGCTTACCTTGCAGTCAGAATCAGTAGCTGCAAACTGTCCAAGTAACAATGCTGCTTCCCTTTGGCTCTCAGAGCAGCAAGATCTTTTACATAAAACATGTTTATCAAAGGACAGACAAACTTTAATGCAAGATATAATCGTTATGCAAGGTTCATACAAGGAATTCTGGGGGTATAATATTGCACAGAAGTTTGCTAGAATCCAGCGCAGAGAGCATACCGAAGTAATCCAATTACAGGTTGTAAAGCTCCAGCTAGAATAACTTGTTTCTTTATATTAGGAGAAGAGTGTACTAGATTTCCAATCACACCAACCTGCAATACAATTAAGGACCATCATATAGGAAAGAGAGGATAAGCATAGAGACCAAACTCCATTCACCGACCAAAAAAAAAAAAAAAAAGTTATACCGCTTCATAATGAATAGCAGGATCTTCAGAACGTAGCATTAGAATCAGATTTGGAAGAGCATTGCATTTGACAATCTGCAAGTCGTGAGATTGTGTCACTTGATTGCAACAGTCAAGCCAATTTCAAATGACCAACTTTCAGAAATGGTCAGTTACCTGATTTTTATTTTCATCGTTTTTAAAAGCTAGGGTACGCAGCGCACCAGCAGCTGCTCTCTGAACCTTTGCATCATTGAATTCAAGCAACTCAACAAGTGGTGGAATCCCACCTTCCATCCTACAGATTGTGTCCAGATAATCATAAAAACAAAAACAAAAACATGCCACCTTTTAATTTGAAGGTATGACCATAACGGAAAAGGCAAACCTGACACAAGTTTTGATGTTACTATTTTCATGAGCAAGATTAGTGATCGCATCTGCAGCCCTACGAATGACACTATTCACAGCACGAGAAGTAGAGCTATTATTATGCCTCTTTAGCAGATCAACAAGATGTTTCAATGCACCATTGTCAACAATAAGTTGTTGATGTTCTGGCTGCAGACGGCATTTTCAAATAAAATAGCAAGATTAAATATATAATACGATAATAATCAAGACTCATCAGGCAATCAAAGGTAAAATGACGCTGCCACAAGCATATTTCAAAGGATTGTCATCACATGTACACCTTAAACTATGTTAGTTTGCAGTATCAGATCAATAAAAAATCCAGTATATACTTCACAAGAATACTACTATTCAACAAAGGAAAAGACAAAAAAAAAAAGGACAAATGATAGAGTTTAACATACGATTTAGTTGTTATTCGTTATTCGTGTATAATATTTCAATTCACAAAAGTTAAGCTACCTTGACGGCAAGAAGTCCCAGAGCAAAAGCACTCCCTTTCTCAACCTCGTGCTCAAACGGCTTCTGGCCAGAATCGTTTTCACTCGAAGGAGGTGCTTGAAGATGATTAACCAAAGCCGGAATTGCGCCTCCTTCAACAATCACGTTCACTACTTCTTCTGCGAGCACAATCATCAAACACCAAAAAGAAAATATCAATCTCAAAACACGAAGCGCGCTCACTCACGCATGCAAGAAATGAAGAGAAACACAGTAGAGAAACACCATAACAATTCATGAAATCCGAGCAGCCGCAACAACAAATAAACGACGAGATCCAAAGACGAGCTTGGAGAAACAAATTTTACCATTCTTGGCAAGCTCAGCGAGGACGTGAGTGGCGCGCTTAGCTGCGGCTCGATCGGATTCTCTCCATGAGAAAGTGGAGTCAAGGACGTCAACCTGCGCCTTTACCTCGGCGAGCAACGCCTTACCGACGTCGCCGGTGGGCGCGGGAGCCGAGATCTCAGACTCCACTTCCAATTCCTCCTCCAGCTTCCGCTTCTGTCCTTTCCTCTCAGAGAAGCCTTGATCTTGGCGCCTCCGAAGCTCCATGAACAGGAGGAAGGAGAAGAAGAAGCCTCTGGTAGAGCAAGCGTGCGCTCGTAACACAAAAGAAGTGTGGGAGTGAGAGAGGGGGGCTAATCCGCAATGAAGCTCCCGGCTTGGGATACCAAATTGAAGGGGTAGTTTCGGAAATTCACTAAAAATTTCGGTCTGATTCATTTTTCTCATTTCGCTTTTGGCTCTTTGAGCATAGCGGTGTCGGGCAAAAAACCGGCCGTACTATTTCCGGTTCAGGAGGTTGGTTAGTTATTGCTCCCTCCAATTTAAAATTTAACGCCTTTTAGAATTTTTTTTTTTTTATTGTATGTGTTCTTTTTAAAAATTTATGCAATATTTATTGATAGTTTTATACTCTTATTTAAAATTTTAATGCAGAACTTTGTGGTTAATTCATTTTATTAATTATAAAACAAATTAAAATCAATTTTTAAAATTAAAAAATTAATTAGTGTGTCCAAACCTTAGAAAATTTGAACAAAGGCGGAATATATACTTCCTTCATTTAAAAATATAATACATTTTTAATCGAATTTTAACCTCCAATAAAGTAATTACCTACTTTCAAACTAACCATATTTTTTTATATTTATTCCTATTAACACTTTATAATAAATATAAAGTTATTTATTAATAGGAATACTTTTTTAGACAATCATTATATATTAAAAAATTAAAAATATTTTATATTTTTTAACATTTAATTTTTTAAAAAATATTTTATATTTTTTAATAAAGGAAGTACTTTATTTTTAATTTAATTGTTGACCTAACATGACCAATGAGCTCCTATGTATAATAAATTGATCATTGATACGTTGATAGGTAATATTAATTAATGTTACGTGTGCGTGGGTGGGGGGGGGGGGAATTTGCAGTCATTTTTATAAGTTTTTTCATACAAATATGGATCATTGGTTTTTTTTTCTGATTTTATCTTTTGCAATTTTTTACTAGTATTTTAGCATAATAAAAGGTTACATATAAGAAAGAAAATATTTTTTAAAATGTTTCCTTTAATAAAGGTAAATTGAATAATTTCTTTCAATTGCATCAATAATTTAGAGTTAAAAAGCATTTTTACTCCTATACTTTCACTCCATGAATATTGAGCGCCTTATATCATTTGGTGGGACATTTCTACCCCTATATCATTTTTTTAGAAGAAAGTTTTCCCTTCCATCAATCAACCTTGATCTCTCTCATTTTTGATTGATGTGGCTAGTTTATGAAACCACGTCTTGTAACACATAAGCATCTAATGTGGCATCTTCTTCTTTATTTTGTGGAATTATGGGTTGCAATTCCTCCAAATTAGATCACCCTTGGCCGTGGCTTTATGTCATGACCACTACAAATTCCTCATTAAAGCTCTCTACCAAATTTGCTTCCTTGCTGATGCTCACTTGGCACATATGCACCCTCTCAAAACACTCAACCCCCCTCTCCACTCTTTCTTCCACCACCATGAAGATTTTGGTGACCATACCAATGGCAGGATCAAATCCAACTTAGCCTATAAAGTCGCCCTTATTAATCTAACTCCATAATGACTTAACACAAGTAATCATTGGCAAGAATAATGGGTTAATTTTTAAAAGCAAAACAATAAAAAATAAAAGTGTAGGAACTTAAAATATCAAAAAAAAATACAGACTAAAAACAAAATATAAGTAAAGTATAGGGACAAAGAATTACATTTACCCTTGTTTATATCATTGGTATTGTTCATTCAACTATAGGTGAACAGTAACAATATGTTTTTTTGAATGAAGAAGAGATGAATTAAACTATCAAAATAATTGTACAAAATAAGTTCAACAAGGAACTAGTACCTTTCACCATCCACCCTCCCTACAAAATGAGAAGGTTGATGGTAAAAAGTCTTAAAAGAAAAGGCATTGTGACTATTAAACCTAATGAGATCACTAAGATGAATAATAACATCTCTACAATAGAAAGAAAAATAAGCAATCCAATCTCTACAAATAAGATTCCTAATTTTAAGAAGGAGAAGGTGCAATAGGTTATCATGAGGGGATTCTTTAATGGGAAGATTGAAGCTACTAGCACAATGAATTTCTACCAAAATCTTTCAATACCCCTCATTCCAACAGGTGATATATCCTTGTATAACTAAATGAAGAACTACATATTCATTATGGGATTTTCTTGCCTTAGTAACAAGACCCCGCTCCTTGTAAAGGTTATCTCTTCTTATGACAACAACACTTACTAGTACATTTTCATATGTGACTAGCCCTGCAACTTCCAAAGAAACTAGATCAAGATCCTTATTATGATTGTTATCATTAATGACAGGTGTTTTTATCTAGATTTTCACACTTTCCTGCATTCACCTATCTTGAATTACTTTAAAAAGGATATTCTTAGCTAAAGTTTGTTGATTATAGTCACCACCATTGAAAATCAATCTGCATCTTGCTACCTAAATCTCCCAACATGTGTAGGCAAAGAGAATTTTTCAATTTCTCTATTTTGTCTGCTCCTTTCCCTATTCATTATTTAGGTTCCATGATAGCCACTGATTCAGATTTTCACTACTAAATTTAATCTAGGAATTTTGAGACACCAAATGTTACCTTCTTTTCCTTGCTTTCGTGCACTCTCTAAATAAGTAGATGCCATCTTTTTCAACAACATAGCCCAGAGGACATGGGTTTGAAGTTAATAAGCCCCTCCTTTGATGTAGACTAACAATGTGAACCACTCTATGTGACGTTAGCCATGAAAGAAATGTCATCTTCTCATGCACTTATAGACACTAAATGGATCTCTAGTTGAAAAATGATGTATTTGGGGTACTCATAAGAAGAAAATTGTATGCAAAACTAATTGAAAAGCTCCTATCTTTTGAGTGTTTCCATATGTAAAACTCTTTCTTAAACAAGTTAGATCTAGGCCTAATGTGAGTAAATTGGTTAATCACATGACGAGGAAGAAGAGTCAACAATTTGAACCTATTCCAATCACCTGTCAAAAGAATACATTTAGTGATTTTTTTCCTCAAGATTAACTAAACCCACCATATTAGGAATTGCATCTAAAATGCAAGTATTTAAGGTTGACCATACATCCACCTAAAACAACATATTTCAAATGAGAGTTTTTTTTTCTATACCTACTCCTTTAATGAATTTCTCCTACACTCATACAGGATACTTCTCCAAGAAAGAGAAGCATTTCTTCTCCACTACATTTGGCAAGGCTCCATTCTCGCATTTATACTTCTCTTTGAGAGCTTGAACCCATAACTTATTTTGTTAGGTAGTTAATTGCCAACATAACTTCATAATGTATGCTTTGTTCTGCTTCCAAAGATCTTTCATACCTAGACCCCCATTGTTTTTCCCATTTATCACTTTTTGCCATAAGGGGAGATGTAACTTCTTCTCATCCATATCCCCTAGAGGAACCGTGGCTTTGCTTCTCCACTTCCTCCAAGATCTTCTTGAGGGATTAGCATAGTTTGCATGAAATAATTGGGCAATGCACATCTTAATAAGAGTGGATCTTCAGCTATACTTAAAAAACTACCCTTCCATCCAAGTAGTCTTTTCCTAATCTTTTAAAGAGTGGGATCAAACATTGAGACAATAGCACACCTGCACAATAGAGGGATGCCAAGGTACTTTCCTAAATCACTTGTAAGAGATACACCCAATTTTCTACTCATACCATAAGCCCTTGAGAAGTGTACATTTTTTAAGCAGCACATACACATTTTGGAGATATTCATCTTCTACCCTCAAGCTTCACAGAAAGCGTTAAAGCATCTTAGTATAGTATCCATTTGATCACAAGAGGCTTCTCCAAACAACACAAGAGAAAAGCATTTCCCATTCTTTGAGAATTTAAAAGGTTTCCAATTTCCCTTTTGAATAATATGCTTTATATGTGTCTGTGTTACCCAAAAAAAATAGGAGAGAGAAAATAACTCATATGAATGACCATTTTTTTTTACATGTAACTAATAAAAAAGATGGGTGATCATTCCTCACCTCTTTCACAAGAGACAGTGGATAATAAAAGAAGTCCGTCAATATGCTTTTTGAGTAATGAATGCACTTATTTAATATAAAAAAAAAGACGGCATGTCACTGGAGAAAGTATATTACAATTCCATAATAATAATAATAATATAAGGCCTAAAGTGCGCATGGTGGATCAGAGCCATAGGCAGTGGGTTTATGCCTGTGCTTCAGAAGTGTGCGACTGTGAGCCCACTGGAATTACAAGGGCGTGTTTGCCTCCACGTTCGCTTTAAGATTTCGTTTTCAGTCAACAGAGAAAGCAATTTGTGCATCCCAAAGGAAAAAAAGAGAGAGAGAGAGAAATTTGACCTTTTTTTTTGCCTTTTTAAATTTTCAAACTTAGCTAATGTGGCGGCAACTACTACTACTATCGATCCGCGAAAAAAGATTACATGACTTTGAAATTAATGTTAATATTAATATTTTGAACTAAACAAATCAGGAAAAAATACACAATCCAAAAGAAAACATAATCAAGAAATGTAAAAATAAAAACGTCTCTATACTCGATAAGAGGGAGATCAAGAATCATAAGACCAGTATACGTAGCACACTTATTATCTTCTATAGGGGAGTGGATCATTTGAAATTGAAAATCTGTAAACTTCATGAAGTTTACATATTGTAAAGAGAAGTGAAGAGATTTTATATTTTATAAAAAATAATAAAATGATAAAAATATTAAAAAATAAAAATTTCACAAAAATTTATGGGTTTCAATTTCAAAGGATTTGTTTCCAAAACTATACGATCATGTACCATCAAATATCTATTTTTTAAAGAAACGTAATAAATGATTTGAAAATTAAGATCCCATTTAATTATTATAAAGAATTGAATGAAGTAGATTGAAAAAATAGAAGTAAAAATAAGATGATAAAAAATGATACATGAGCTATGAGCATATTCATAAGGAAAAAAGATAATTTAATTTATGGGATTGAGGATCATAATTCATAAAATTTTTAAAAGATGTGATGATTTTTACATTTGTGATATATATTAATAAATTTTATCATATTTATTATATGA